TTACACATTATCACAACAAAATTGCAGACAATAAATGTATAAAAGGCGATGCCTACTGGCTGGTACACCTGCTTGGAATATTTCTGTTTGTCCTTTTAATCAAATAAATACAATTTCATGCCTACAGTGTCAGTGTTTTAAAAACTTGTTTGTAAAAGAGCAAAGGGAGAAAAAAACCCTACAAGAAAGCTCAAAAGTTTTGCAAATGACCCAGAGTTAATTAGAAAAGTCTGCACCCTAGCTAGTTCCCCTTCTCACGTGTCAGCTCTCATTAAATCAAAAAATTCTCATTTCAAAGTTAACAAACACCATGGTTAACAAAACTGTTAAACTGGGATCAAGTGGGCACATTCCTAGGTTTATATATGATGTCATGCTAAGCAGCCCACAGCTGAACTTGCGAGTAGGATGAATGATTTTTCAATATATTAAGTATCTGATCTAATGCTAATTTTTTCTCTATAGGCTAACTGTGCTGGGAACAGGTGGCCCTGCTTTCAATTACGGAGGGCTAACATGCCAGTGTGAGGCCTGGATTAGTTCACCTTCTCACAGGGAATTTGCCTCGGTTGGGAATGGATTTATTATGGCTTCACACATGGAACGGAGCTCATGTCAGCTGAGGGCAGTGATACATCATATGATTCAAATTAACCTGCTGTGGACTGTTCCGCAGGGCTGATACTGTGTATTAAAATGACGACATTTTTAAAACAGCTTGAAAGAAACCAGGATGGCTGAAGTGCAATGGTTCCAATTTGTTCCAACTAATCTATCACCTGCTGGAGATATTATTCTAGTGGGTTTCTGGTAGCTGCTATTTTCCAGGTTTCTCCAAGCCRCTGACCTTGCTAATGGATACGATTGTTGCCTTTGGAAAGGAGAAAAAAACCTTGAAGTGAGAGCTATGGGGCAGCTCTGTTTGCTCCTTTTTATGTGTAACTGCAGACACGGTGCAGGCTTCTCCCTGGGTCCCAGCAGCGCTGGGCAAAGGCTTGGCAGAAGAACAACCCACATTCCTGCTTCAGCATCCAACGGGTAACGGCATTTCAGAGTTTGTCTGCATAGTCTGTCCTACAGAAATCATTTCAAATGGCAAAATATCAAGGATCTGAGTTATTTCACACCTAGCCTCTTTCCAAGAAAATGCTGGAAGAAGGGGACTTTGGCATAAAGTGTTTATATTTTGCTTGTTTAAGTGTTTTAAGGCAATTTGCAAGCTGTGCTTCATGAATTAATAAAATGTTCTGTATCACATGCAGAAAAAATATGTCAGAAGACAGCTTTTAAAGCCAAAAGGCAAGATTTTTTTAGAAAATTCTAAAGAAAGAATTAGTAGACAAAAATAACAATTTACAGAAAGAATTGCAGCGAGTTGGTCATATTTATTGTTCACCCAAGGAATGATATCTAATGCTGAAGCTATAATAGTTCATTCATATTTGAGAAGAATGAAATGTAGAATCCAGTTGTTACTGGACTGAATGGAATATAAAAGAGAGYGGGTTGTGCACACTGATGGCAAAGGAATTTAAAAAATTTTAAATAGTTAGTTACTGTAGAAAGAGAAAGAATAGTCCTTTAATACATTGTAGGGTTAAAGTTGAGGTCTGTTCCCACAGGCCTGATGATGAATGCTTATTTCTCCTAGGATCCTATTACCTAAAATCTGGAAGAAATATCATTTTTCTTTAGTTGCCAAAAATGTACAAAATAATCAACTCATGTGGCAAGAAGTGCATTAATGTATCCTGTTATTCCCATTTAATTAGTGGTTTCCAAGTTTAGCTACTTGCTGTAGTTTTTTGATCTCCTAGTTAATAYGGACTGACAACCTGGTTTCCTGTGTGGTGAAAGTATACAATTTTTCTGTGGAACACTATCTACTTATCTACTTTTACTGACAAACTATTTACAAGGAGCACAGATTTTATTTAAGGCAGCAAACACTGGGGACCATTTGCAGATTTTTTTCTTTTAACTGCTCGTATAATAGCTTGCATCATAAAACATAGGCATGGTTGACCCTCATATCTGAAATTTAACCTCAGCATGCCAATAAAGTATTTCTGAAGAAAAATGATATTATGATTAAACCACTGAGCTTCAAATACCAAAATCCAAATGAAAACTGTATTCTTAGCATCGCCACTGCTATAGCCAGATTTTTGTCTGCATACGCACAACTTTTAAAAATGTCCAGAGAAGCAGATGGGCTCCAGCAGCTACCATCTATCAGTATGTATTGCAACCACTGTATATTAAAAATTTGCCTATTGTAATTATAAAACTCACATACATAAATGAACAAAATTATGCAGCATGTCCCTAGAAAATATGCGGCAGAGCAGCACTGATATTTGGCAGATGTGCACAAGAAAGCTGTAGGCCTTTGGCTGAGGCATGCAGGAAAGCTCAAGTACTCCAGCAGTGCCTTTGCTTATTCAGTTTGTTAACTACCATGTCTCCAGTCACAAATGTCACTTGTCTGTTGACATTACAGGAACTGTGATGAGTTTGCTGAGGTTCTTGGCCTTGATGAAGAGCTGTGGGCTTTGTTTGGACCCGGTACCGTAGAAGCTACCTCACCCTGGAAGAAGCCTTGGTTAGAGGCCAGACCTTTGCCTCCCAGTACAGTTAAGAACTTTTTTCCACAGTCTGCTAATGAGTTGCCAGCATCCATAACATTCCTGCATGTGCTACTCTGATGCAATCACATGGTCAAAGTGGCTTTCACTAGTGATCCAGTGAAATTTCCAATGCCCCCAGAATGCTTTTTGATTAAAGCTAGTTTATTCAGGGAGGATCTCCTGTTGTAACACCAGGGATTGGGAAAATCTCCAAAGAAATCCAGCTCTGTTTTGTTCTGCAACCTGCAAAAACACGTTATTGAAATTCAGGGTAATTATTGTTGAGTCCTGTTTAACGGTTGCTCCACTTAGCAGGAATGAGATGATAAAAATGAATGTTCTTCTTAGCTCAGAAGAGATCTTGGAGGAAGGTTCTGATAAGCAGTCTGAAGTTTACAATGAATTAATTTACTGCTTTTCAGTTCCTTATTTAGCCAAATACTATGAAGGGGAGAGCTACAGGATTCAGGATCTAAATTGTTGAGAGTGGAGTTAAGAACTCAGACCACTCTTATCTAGACCACTGAGCTGGCTTGCAAAGCCACAGACACCCTTCTCYGCTAGTTTAGTTATAACACCATCATGGAAACACCTTCAAGTGAGTAATTAAATATACTGGCTGGGCCAGAAAACTACAGTGAGAGCCTAGAGAAATGTGGAATGGAGAGACAAGGCACTGAGATTTTGAAAATCTGCCAGAACTGTGGAAATAGAGTATTGAAAAAATTGGGGGGAAAAAAAAAAGGTTAAAACAAAATCGACTTGGCAGTAGTGAGCTAAAGAGAATACATTTCCTTTCTGCTTTTGGACTACAACCCCAAAAGCCTGACTCTTAATACTCCTCTGATTTCATCAAATATCTATAAAGTCACTGATGATAGTTCTTGTTTCCTCTCCTATGAGAGTCAGGATTAAAATGAAAATCCACTATTCCTATCAATTAATTTGTTAGTTCAAATGGCAGTAGAAYATGCAGAAGGTCTGAAGGTTCAAAATCCTACTAATGGAGCCAAATAGGGACCAATATAACAAAACTTCTCTATAAGTATTTGTATATAGGTATATGTAAACGGATTTGCAAGTTAGTCTTYCCAGTCAGCTGGCCAGTCTGTATTCCTTATTCTCTGGTGGCTCAGCTTTATGTGCAGAAGTGATCATGGCTTTACCCAAAGGCAAAAGGAACTCTGCTTCCTGCATCTCAATTTCTACATTTTCTAAATACCTTGGAAAATGAAATTGTATGTTTTAAAAGAGTTCCCTAAGAACAATTCTATAAACTTCCATTTTCCTGAGTTGCCTTCTGTGAAATGCACAAGGTGCACTAATCCCTCACTCATGGAAAGATTGTGCAGGTAAATTAGTATATCTTTAGTATCTCACATCTTAAAGAACTCAGCAATACATCAGAAAAAAAAAAATTTGTTGTAGAGCCAAGTTTAAATGATGTGCTGTAAATAATGTGTTAGCCTGTGTCGGAAGGTGAATACTGAGGAGGAGGAAAATACTGAGGAGCTGCTCACTGAGTGACAGATAACACATCATTCTGTCTGCTGAGTGAAATAAGGCTGTGCAAGAAAAAAAAGTAGCACAGTTCAATAAATTGCCATAAATACAAAAATAGGTGAATTGTGATACCACAAAAAATGTAAGCATATTTTCTAATTTTTAATGCAACTTTATATTCTAAGTTAGCAATAGAATTATAAACACAGGAGTCACAAAACAGAGAATGTATAACGTACTTCTGTTTGCCACAATTATTCCTCAGGAGTGAAACTTCAAGTCATTTACATTATTCTACATAAATGCTAATATATGATACCATTTATATTCCGTGTTAGTTACACAAATATGCTACAAATATTCTTTCAGTTTTACAGTACCAACATTTTAGATGATACAAATTTGTAATGGCTGGTACCCAAAATTCAGTGACATTGAGAGAAAAAGACTCATAAAAATCTTCAGAAACAAGTTCAAAAGCAGCCTTGGCTGCCTTTGTTAGGCTAARCATAACTTTAGTAACACTGGAAGTTGCAATTGGTATAGGGCTAGAATCAAGTAGTTTTCATTTTGCTGGAAATTTGCCAACCTCACACTTCTAAAGGAATAAGATTTCTAGATTTAGCCTGAAAAAGAAAATAACTAGTCAGGGCTTAAACCCATGTAAGGTCAGTTCAGATCTGACTATTCCTCCACTCTTACCTCTCAGTTCAGGGTAATTGCTAGAGAGAATTCCACCTGCATCAACACAGAATACAACCTTTTTTTGTGTGTTTTTCTTTTTGTTTTCCTGATAATCTAATGAACTGGTGTGTCGATGTAGGAATAAATTGCATCAAAAAGCAGAGATGAAGGTGCAGTGCTTACCTGGTCCATTAAGGAAGTCTTTAATTTGCACTGTGACCAGAGGAGGTGGAATTCCACTTTTGGTGTCCACCTCTCCCGCTACCGTCTGCAACCAAGTCTTGCAATAATCCAGAGCTTCTGGGAGAGTCTTGCCAGGATCTGCAGGTGATAAGGATCATATTCAGTAATGATTTTCCAGGAATGTGATATATAACAAAATCCTAAGAACAAAATAAAGTAAATTAAAATGCTCAAAATATCTATATAGGGGTTAGTATTCAGAATACTACTGTTAGGCACAGCACTTGTGCCCACAGAGGTGCATATGCATGTAGGGCAGACATACATATGCTGGCATACATATGTATACAGGTGCAGCAGCAATTGCACTCAACAGAGAAAACCTGCAAAAAACAGTAAGTAAAATATGWGTAAAAATAACACCTGCCACATGATGGCTTTTAATGCCCCATAATTTTGGCATTAATCATGATGACACCTCAAGAGTGCTTGCAAAGGAATCACTGCTCAAAAGTTGCTACCACATTTTCACGGCCAGGTAGCAAAACTAGTAGCAGAAATACAAATTATGAAGGCTAAAAACTGAGCATGTTGAGGATAGAGCATAGTGACAACGCAGTTACATCAATCACATCATGCTTAGCTTTTAAAAATCAGTAGTTACAATTTGATATCATTCTGAATGGTATTACTTKGATCAACCCCTAATATTTTAAAGGACATTAAAATTAATTTCCACCAAGTGCTATGCATTTCTTCATTTGCTATATATCACAGACAGTAAAAACAGCACTGTGCAAAGACTTCTTATTCTTTAGCAACTCATGTAAACAGTCCCGAATTCTGGCATTACACATCTTAAATTCCAAATGCTATTTCTTYAGTACCAAGACTACTACACTATCGATTGCCTGCCTTAATGAAATTTCCTCTTTCCCACTTTCAGTCAATTAAAATTTGTTCTAATTGTTTTATTTTACTGAGATTTACTGATTGGATACCTTCCAAGAGCAGTATTTACAAACCCACTATTATAGTCAACATATGGTAACGTGGCATCACAGTCATCTGTAGACAGGGTATATAAAGTCAGCTTTGGAATTTGTAATTCTTGACCTTATCATGTGATTCATATAAAACCTGGCACATATGAACCCTTTCGTGATTTCAAAGAACCTACTGAAACCAATTGATCATGACTTTAGATCTATATGGAAAAGATCAAAAGTTAGCACATTCTTCTGGTTTTATTTGATCAATTTTCAGGCAATGACTTTGCGGTAATATTTGTACTCCGTGGCATATACATTACAGCSTTTCCTTCACTTTATTCCCACTACACATTTATAAAGTCAGCTCTCAACAGTTATTTAAGAGCTGTCACTACATACAACAGATTTGTATATTTTCCACGCAAATTTCTGCATTTTTTACAGCTTTTAGTCCTTTTCTTTAATTACACTAACCAGAATGGTATGTGACACTCCCTTTTCCATAGCTAATGCTTTCCTCTATCAAGAGTTTGTCTAATATACTGAAAATAATAATAATAATAAAGCAAACTATATATTTTTTWAAAAAAAATACAGTCTTGGGAGTTTTTCTGACCATGAATGTTATCTTTGATTTGGTTCCATGCCACAATATCTTGCTTTGTGTTGGTAGTGCATGATAAGCAATTAATATACCTTTATTTTTTGGAGTATACAGTGAAAATCATTGTCAAACTTACAGAACATTGTGCAATGAATGCCACTGGATAAATTAAATTGATCAAGGCTATTCTTCCTGACYGCAGATGAAAAATATTGCAATATGCCATTTGGTCTCATTTCGAATACACTGCATATAGCAGCCTAGATCAATCACTGTTTTTTTTTAYACAGCAGCCTATAACCACTGTTTTTTAAGAAAATCCAGGAAAATTAGCCAAATATTTCTTTGTAGAATACATCAACTGGTTTTCCTGTTCTACTAAGAGGTGTTTATGTTATTAAATACCTAATAATTATGAAAAGATGTAACTGTTTAAAGATTAAAATACCTCTGATGAAAAGAAGTTACACAGCAGATTATCCTGGCATGGCAGGATACACTAGCTGTACAAACACAACCCTCAGGGTGCTTAGAATTACAGCACCAAAGCAGAGAATCAAAAACTAGAAAATAAAAATAGAAGGAATGGGAAATTTCAGAAAATTTGGTCTGTCATGAGTCCAAAGATTCCAGCACTGTCATCTCTCCATTACTTGCATGAATAATGGAAGACTCCAGCACGTATGGAATAGGAACACAACACAGACACCTCAGTGAACAATATGAACCAACAAAATATATTACTTTTGACTCAGCATTTGCTCTATAGATTTCAAGTTTTTTTTTTTTTTTTTTTAGTTCAAGTAAAACTTTAAACCAAAACAAAAAACAATTGCATTAAACTGAAATTAAGACAATTCTAGAATTGGGATACTTGTATTCATGCAATCTGGCGCGCAAGGTAATAAATCTGAGGGGCCAAGCAAAGAACTGCTTGAGCTTTCCATGTCCATGGCACAGTTAATTTGGAGCCTGGACAGCAGACTTAACTGTACATCCAAGTCTGCCAGATGTGGATCAATAAATTAGTTGTTATATAATGAGAAGAAAGCTAGAAGAAATCCAGAGACTGACTGTTCTGGTGTGTGTCTGAAAAACTTGAATGGAGTTTGATGGAGGAGCTACAAAATGCATCTGCCTAGGACAAGTTTATTTACATAAAAGGTAAAAAGAGTAAAATAATGTATCTTGTTGAAACACTTTCTACAGCAGAAAACAGCATTTTCATAGCATTAAGGATCAAGAAAAGAATAAAACATGTGGGGTGCCACAGGGCATAAATATTACCATGGAAGCAATAGCATGAAAAGGAACATTTAGGCTAGAAAGTAAGGAATTCCTGATGGTGCAATCTATTAGAAAAAGGACTCTTCTCCCTCAAGGAAATTATGGAAATGTTCAGAATGTTTAAAAATACACTTGACAGGAGACTATAAAATATACAATAGGGAACAATTACGTGTCAGCAGGGAATGGGTCTGAATAATGTATCATAATAGGTCATTCCCATTTCCATTTTCTATGATTCTCCCAAAAATCAACACTTAAATTTGCAGTTATTTGTATAAAGAAAATTCTGCAGAAAGCCCAGGGGATGCATATATAAATAAAGGAAGAGGGTAGAATTACTCCACAGCAAGCCAGAARAGAGAAAAGCTCAAAAAGTGAAGAGCGGCGAAGGGGGCCAGAAATTCTATCCTCTATGTGATGTGAAAAATTTGTCTGTGGCAGCAACAGCAAAATGGTGAGACAACTACCCCAGATGGACAACCAGGCCTCTATTTGAAAACCAGTGAGGCTGAGAAGCTGGGAGGCCTTGAATATCTTCCACAATATTTTTCTTTTCTTTTCTTTTTTTTTTTTCCTTTTTAGTAGAATGAAAGGAAAACAAACATCTCCAGCTGTTTTTGCATCCGCCCAAACACCCAAACCCATGTTTAAGCTCAAGTTCCAAACCCCACGTCCAAAGCGTCACAGTTTATGAAATTCTTTACTTGAAGTGAATTTGGAGGATTTTGGTATCTCCTCATTTGCATATTAATGGCRGACAGCAAGAAAGCAACTTTGGAAAAGAATGGAGACTGCGAGGAAAGGAAAAGGATGAGGAAGGAGAATTTTCGGGCGTTGAAGATTTTACTCTTCCAGCTGTGGCTTTGCTGCAGGGCCTGCTGAGGGCAGGGCTGTCCAGCGGCTCTGGGCCAGGCTCGGGGCACAGGCCGCGCAGGCCATGGCGGGCGGCTGCCGCGTGGCCGAGGCCCAGGGTGCTCCGCAACGCGCTGACCCTTCAGGGGCACGACTGCAGAGTCACAGAATGGTTGAGGTTGGAAGGGACCTCTAGAGATCATTCAGTCCAGCCCCCTGCGCCAGCAGGGACACCCAGAGCACGGGGCACAGGGTGGCATCCAGGCGGGTTTGGAGACCTCCAGAGAAAGAGASTCCACAGCATCCAGGCTGCGGCCCGCCGCCATGCGAGCGGAGGCGACACGTGCTCCCAGCTACTGCGTCTTCACGGACGCCCTGCCACCAAAGGTGGGGGTGTTAGAAAATAAAAAAATTAGTTAAAAAAATCAGGAATAATTTGAGACGGCCTCACAATGGCTGCAATGTTTCACCAGAGGAAGCTGAAGAAATTCCATGCATAACAACAAATATTCACGGGGAAATTTCTCCCCTGTCAAATGACCAAGCCACACAATCTCCTCTTTAAAAATAAACAAACAAACAAATAGGAAAAATATTTTTGAAGAATGCCCAGAGCACCATGCTCAGGAAATGAGGCAATTTTGTATCTGGATTACATTACCTGAAACAAAGCAAATAAAGATTTTAAAAAAATATTTATAAAAGCGGCTTATGAGATTACATTAAAAACAATTGCACCCACTTTTATTTAAGTGGAAATGGCCAATGATCTATTTGCCAAAACTAATGGCTAGCAGATGCCACTTTTGTTAAACACAGGATGAGCACTGAATGAAAAGGTTGTTTTACAGTATCTTTTAGGCTGTTTATACAGAATCTTACAAGTCAGCCCAGTGCAAAGCTACTCTTTTGAATGACATTTACTGAGTAGCTAATATTTATTCAATTAATTTATTTACTTTGTTTTGAAGTTCCCATCGCTGGTGTTAAGTAACATAATTGCAATCAAGCTGTGCAATTACAGAAATAATTTAAAACACAAATGAAGCAGCYGAGCACAACCATAATAAAATTCAGCCTACAGTATAATATCCTAATAAACTCCCTCCTCCTACAAACTGACTTGCCAGTGGACACGGTTTGAAGGGAAGGCTGAGGAAATTGAAAGCACATCCACTAGTCTTTGGCTCCGAGCTAGGCAAGTGCTCCCTTACAGAGCCCCTGGCCTGCTGGAAATGTGCTACTACTAATTGCTAATTAACATCCYGACAGTATTTAACTCTTAAACAGTCAATTTCCTCCCATTTTCTTCTTAAGTTCTCTCATCTTTCATAAAGTAAGCATACAATAACATGGCCAATGAACAGAGGAGCCAAGAGTTTCAGATGAAGTCGGGTGCTCTAGACCCAGCACAATTATCTCTTGTATAAATGAGTGAAGTTCATTATGTTCTATTTGCATTTGTTCTATTATCATTCAAAAATAAGAACCAAATGCGTATTCCAGTTAAAATGTGGGTAGTTTCATATATCAACATCAAAATCTTCATTACTGCATGTGTTGGAAGGAGYTGGTTACCATAAGGCAGCAAGCTTGGTTTCGTCACTAGCCCAGAACCACTGCTTTGATGGAGAACAAAACTGGGTCTAAACTGCTACTAACTTTTCTTTGTCCTAGAGTTTTCTTTAAAACTATCTCATGTAATTTAAAATTGTAATTTTCTTTTACTTTCACAAAAACACAGTATTTCATAACACTCATAACACCCATAACACCCTTGCAGTTGAACTAATTGCAGTCAGATCTTTACTTTTACACRACATTCCAAACAGTTCTTCCAAATGCATGAGGCCATTCATAAAATATTTGTATGTGGTATAAATATAGGGTCTGTATCTATACAGAGTGATGATTTGAAATGGTTTGAAATGGCACAGTTGTTATTATAACTGTAATTAGTTATTATTTGTTATTATTTGGGTCTAAGTAACCTAGTTCATATACAGTTCAGCTACTCTATGTAATGCAAACATCATGCATGTCTCTCTCTCCCAGACAAGGCTAAACTTTTCAGGTTGGGATGAAACTTGCCCTGACCTCCAGAGCTGAGGCGGTGGTGTTGCCCATCTCTGCCGTAAGGTAGAACACACACAACGTTCTCATCAGGCCTGACTGCACAGTTTCACTGCTTAAATTTTTCTCAAAAAATGAATATATTCTATAAGTTCTTAAAACTTCATTTAAATATATCTTATATGTCTGTTTAACTTGAGTGCCGCTCCCATTCTGTTGTGACAGTCCCTGTAAATGAAACAGTATTTCTGCCCCTTCCCATCGTACAGTCCTTGACATGCAGAAAAATGTAAGACTTTAGTACAAAGCTGCTGTACAGAGGSAGAGAAGCTAACTTACTTCTTTAAATAAGCTTTTTATCATTCTTCAGCTGGATGATATATCTCTTTCCAATAAAATTGTCAGCGAGCAGTCATAATATCAACCAAAACTGGCCTGATGGACCAAACTGACTAGAGCAACTTAGTGCATGCAGTGCAAAGCTCCTGATGGAATATCATATAATACGTTGTTTTATATATCATATTGCAGTTAATGGCAATTTTCCCTCCAAAATATGTAAGAGAGATTTAAAATAGAAATTTCCAACAGTAACATGTTACTACAGGAGCACGGCAGCATTAATCCTGAATGACACAATTCGAGGCACAGCAAGTTTTCCCGAAAAAGGGGCAATAAAAACTTTATATTACCTGTTTTGCTGTGTGAATTAGTATGCGCCTTTAAGTGTGGATGATTTTTAGTAACTTTTTAGATCTATTTAAGGTAGTGCTTTTAGGTTTTAGAACTTTGGCAGCTACTTCTCTCCGTGTTTTTTGAGGCAAGCCCTGAGCATTGGGCATGCAGCACAGGAGACCGTCTGACAAATGTGGCTATTTATTATCGCCCACGAAGGCCACGAGATGGAACCACAAGTTCTGCCATCCCCTGAYGTGTGACTCCTGCCTCCACACTCTTTATGGGACAGAAAGGCACATTTGTCTGTCAGAAAAAAAGAAAAAATAAACAAACAGACACCCCTGCATCCTTGTGCCTCTGTAGGACCTCTGCAGGTCTCACTGAACAGTCATGGGGAGCTAGTTGCTCTCAGGCCACAAGCTCCTACTCCCTTCATTACTTAAACGTCTTGTCATGTTTCTGGGTTCTCTGATCCACTTGGAATTTGTAGGAAAATTTAATTACAGGTTGTGGACAGACTATTTTTCTAGAATAAAGCCACCTGCATCCACGGATACTTGATTGCTGGAAGGATCAGGAAGCGAAATCTGTGATTGGGTGATTCTCACTGCAGGAGCAGAATGGAGACTCTTGCCCAGTTTATCCTAAYGTGGCAGCAGCTCGTACAAGGACAGGCTTGAATACCTCAGACATCAGATGTGAAGAAGCTCAAAAGCATCTTCCCAAAACACTAAGTCAAGGAGGTTGTGACCTCTCACTTACAACTCTTCCTATGTTTTCCTTCAAGTTGTTCTTAGGCTCGTCAGTCACGGACAATCCTCAATCACATCAACAACAGTAGCTCAAAATGTGCCTGAGAGCATATTCTCAACCTGACAGTGTACTGATAAGATTCAATATAGAGAGATGGAAAACAATCTTATTTTATAACCCAATAAAATGTGAAATCTTTTACCCCATATATCCTATTTTCTCCGATGACTTGGTTTCATGGAATTTATCATCTAGATAATAAAAATAGTTCCGCTTTATTACTATACTTCTGTCTACATATTAAATGATATATTGATACAGTATTTATTTGTGAAACTCTGTTGATGCAGTATTATTTTTTGCTTAGAGTCACAGATGGCACACAGGCTTATATTCATAATTACGTATTTCAAAATCAGCAGAAGTGAAAAGATGGTAAAATACTATGTTTGTTAGCCCTACAATGGCTAATAAGAAATTTATGAGGCAGTTCTATTTCTCCTGAGAGTAGGGAGCAACAACAGGGAAATATGAAAGTGGAAGCAAAAATGAAAAAAAAGCCTTTCACGTTTGTCTTCAACTGCCCACTCTTCCTCTTTCTGTTCACTATCTCTTTTAAGAAATTTTATTGTATTTAAGATTTCTAAAGAAAGTTTAAATTCATTGAAAGTAACATGCCAGTCCTTTGTATCTACACAGCACTTTCAATATTCAAAAGACACTACCTCACGCCGCAAAGATTCAGCACAGCTAGATGAAAGCTTTTCATAATTCATGTGTTGTAAGAAATTTGGCAAGAGAAAAACCTGCTATGYTCTTGACCTACAGCTCTCATTCATGTAACAGAACACACTATTCTGGCTGCTCTTTCAGCAGTTCCTTGCATCCTCCTCTAAGCAATTTTTGKTAACATTCTGCAGAGTAAAGATCTGTCTCATTCAAGCCATACACCCAGTGCTGGCAGGCAGACAAAAGAACCACAGCCCTTCGACTTCTCTCTTCAGTAGTGCAGGTAAGACAGAAAAAGAAATTTTCAGAAAGACTTTTTTTCCTCTTCAGCAGTTATGCATTACTATAAACTCTATGAAACGAAATGAAATGAAATGAAAGAAAGAAAGAAAGAAAGAAAGAAAGAAAGAAAGAAAGAAAGAAAGAAAGAAAGAAAGAAAGAAAGAAAGAAAGAAAGAAGGAAGGAAGGAAGGAAGGAAGGAAGGAAGGAAGGAAGGAAGGAAGGAAGGAAGGAAGGAAGGAAGGAAGGAAGGAAGGAAGGAAGGAAAGAAAGGAAAAAATAATTTTTAAATCATAATAAAAGGACACATTTTTTAAGAGAAGGAAACTGAGTATTCATCTGAATAAAAGCTGGACAGAGATGGCATCATTACACGCCATATGGAAGATGACCATAATTTTCTTACAGTTCATGATCAAAACACCATTTGCTTCAACAATGTTTTTGTTTTTGCTTTAAATTTTAGCAGTAAGCTAATATGAGAAAATATTGTAATTCTCGGTCATAAAAATGCTTTTTATGAAACCAGCTCAACTTACAAACCCTTAGTTCCTCAGATAGCACTGAAGTGTTAAGGCAGTGCAACAATCTGAATTCAAAGCTCTGCTGAGACAGAAATACTGAGGAACAGGAAGAAGTGACTGCTAGAAGGGTAGATGTTAATTCACTTCAAACTTTCTACACACTTGGCTTGACTCGGTTGTGGTGTATAATCCTATAAACACCTGTATTTACTGATTGATTTATTTACCGATTGGTTTTTAAAGACACCCTCGTAGTCCATCAGCTGTGTTCTCCTTCCCCACTCCAGCAAGTGTGAGAAGTCTCGTCACTTTGGCAGTTTTTACCAGGGATGAACCGCACAATCTTACCCGTGCACTTGTAGTCCGAGGCTACTCCTTTAAGCCCTGCGTCAAACATGGATATTTCCACCTTCTGCTTCCGGTGGTGGCAGCTGAGGAGCACGGAGGGCTGCGACACCACGAGGTAGAGGAAGGGCTGGAGCTCCACGTCGCCGGCGCCCCTGCGCCCGGGCTGCCGCACGATGGTTATGCCAAGGGCTTGCCGGGCGGACGACCTCGTGGAAGCGTGCAGGCTTTCCAGGGACAAGAGCCCGGGTCTCCTGCCCGCGGCCGGTGCCGCGTTACCGTTCAGCAGATCGGCCGCCGTGACGGAGGAGATGCCTCCCTGTGGGACCTCGTCGCCGTCGTGGTGGCTCCCTGCACCCGCCGCCACYGGCAGGTTCAAGGAGCTTCTGCTCCTTTTCTCGCCCTCCTTGGGCGCCGGCGGGGATTTCGGTTTGGGTAGGGCGCTACACGAGTAGGTCATCAGGGAGATGCGACTCGCCGTGAGGAACACGTCGAAGGGGATGAAGTTGAGGTTCTTCACGATGGAGGAGTGGCGCGAGGGGCGGGCGAGGCGGTGCTGGCTGGTGCCGCTGTGCTGCTCGATCTGCACGATGCGGATCCTCACGCTGTCGCTGCCAATGCCACTGTCCTGCGCCCCGCTGTAACGGGACGAGGTGTCGGCCGTTCCTCCATCGGACACATCCGTTTTCTTCTGCTCTTGCTTGGAAACCTGTGAAGGAAAACATTGTATTAACTTACAACAGCCGTAGCCCAACTATTTTCATCTCAGTGGCAACAAATAATCRCTATAAAAACACGATGTCAAAAAAGAGAATTATACAAAAATCTGCCAAGTTGACTTTAACACAGTCATCACTCATGAAGAGACAGCAGGTGTCTGTTCCAATGAAATGATGACTCACAGCAGAAGACRTGCCAAAAGGACATGTGAGGGAAAGAAGGAATAATAATTCCTAGGCTTAAACAAATTCTTTTTTTAAAAACAGAAAACAACTATCATTCCTTGTACTCTAAAGAATCTGAAAGAAATCTTCGGTTAAAAATCCGATAATATCTCCTTAAATAATAGATTTTAAATGAAAAGGCTAGACAGAACTGTTTTCCAGTTTGGAGCACTAATGCTCAAAGAAGTTCTCTTTGCTCAAAGTTCTCTTTGGCACTAAACTGTTTTTTGATGATTGCAKGAAATAAATAGAATGCATTATTAATCTATTGCAAAAAGATAAAAAGACTAAAAGGAAATTGTAAACTGAAATACACAAATATGCTGTAGAAAGAATATTTTTCTTAAGAGTCATAGAAGTGACAGCTGCATTATATAAAACAGTAAAGCTGAAGTAAGAGTCAGCAATATAAAGACTGCCTCTGACGGGGTAGGAGCTAAGACGAGCTCTCCAAGGCTACCCAGCCTTGGCTGAGACATTCACAGGGTCTTGCATGAGAAACCATTGCACAGATTGCACGGAAAGCACTAGGAGGATGCGGAGAGAGAGTGATCCTGCGCCCTGCCGCTTTCTGTAACTCWTTCCCCTGGATTCCCCAGGCCTCCCTGGGTGCTCCATTGGGAATGCTGGTGGGAATGCACCTGTGCAGCCATCCCTGCAGCTCTCGTTCGTGAGTTCGTCCACTCCCTTCTTTGAACCTGCTGACACTGTCTGCCTCCACAACCTCCTGGGGCAGCAAATTCCGGAAATTCAGTGGACATGTAGACATAATTTCTTTTCTTTGTTTTTAATCAATCTTCTATTAGTTTCATTGCATTTCCTCTATTTCTTGTTCTGCAGGATTTGAACTGCACATCTGCCTTTATCACTGCTTTTATGACTCTATAAACATTCATCACACGTCCCCGCAGTCTTTTCCTCTCCAGACCGGACAGCCACAGCCTTCTTAGTCTCTTCACAAAGCTACTGCTCTGCACTTTTCCTTTTCCTTTTACATTTCTGTGCTTTCTGTAATTCCACTGTGTCCTTTTTGAGTACTCTACACAGAATTCAAGAAGTGGCATCACTAGGATTTTATATGGCAGCAAAATGATGCCTTGTGTCTCAGTTTCCACTCTGATGCTGTCCAACGTTTTGTTGTTTTTTTGGACTGCTGCTGCCCATTTCCTCAATGGTTTCATTTCTTCATTCGAGGATCTACCTTAATACTTTGCTTTTATCTTCTCCACCCTAATGAATCTCTGAAAAGGCAGTTATAAAACAGCGCAAAATGCACCTTAACTGCTGTTTGAAAGAATAATAGTGAATTAAAAGTATTTTCAAAATCTATCAGAAACTATATTACAGGAAAGAAGAGCAGAGAAGAACTGAATCAACTGGATTACTTTCAACTTTGATCTTTATATATAAAACAATACACTTACTACAGCATTTGATTATTGTGGAGAATAATTCTTTTTGTTTTATTTTTGTTTGTTTTAGCATTGAGATTCCTTAATGCTGTGCTTTCTAAAATAAAGGGATACTTTAATTCCCTTCCCTCTTCTCCCGATCCCTTTCAAAAACTGAACATAGCAGTGGAAAGTCCTGCAGAGGAAATCCTGAAACAGAACCATTAACTAGCTGAGATGTCTTTGAAAAGGTTTTTGCCAGCTCTGGTTACAATCTTTTCTGATTCACTCATGTACATATTTTTCAAATAACCAATAAAATTYCTTGTGGCTGATTTCTATGACAGACTCATATCATTGACTTGTAAATGTGATACCACTTTTAATGCCRCCTCTGTAAAAGTAACTTAACTAGAGGCTGACTTAATGAATTACACTGTGAGCCAAGAAATCCTGACTCCTCCCGATATCCCAGCAAATTTAGACTATTTACACCCTAGTTTCTTAATCTGGAAAACTCCACAGTATTTTGCCCATTTCCTGCACTGACGATGCTTTCAAAATGCTAAGGGGTGGGTTATTGCTTATGTATTCAGGGCAAACAGAAAGCAGAAGAGTGAAAAAATCCTGCCGTATCATTTGATGGAAATGCTGCCTGAAACCAAATACAGGGTATGTGCTGTTAAACCCAGCAGGTTTTAATTGCTCCACAGCCTTCAATTCAGTCCTAAAAAAATCTTTTCAGAGAGCAGGTTTCAGCAGTGAAGGGGCTCTCAGGGCAGCCTGTGGCCTTCTCTCGTTCCGCTGCACGCGGCAGAAATCCCTGCGGCTCCTGGATGCGCTCGCCACAGGGATCACGCGCTTGTTCACRGCACAATAACCTTCCCAAGTGAGAAACACGGCACGAGAACAGCTGAGTGCAGGGCAGAATGCAGAACGTTTGGTTTGCAAAGGCACCGTCTCTTTTCAGAGCCAGACAGATCTGAGCTAAAGCTCAGTTCTTTTCTTCTGCCTCTTTTTATAACTAAATATTTACCAAATGTTCTGGTTTGTGTGAAGCACCTAGAGGAAAGTGGGAAAGCAGCTCTGCTTGCAACCCCGCTCAGACTTGTGTTTCTGTGCTAAGACTACTGAAAGGGTGATAATTGGTCCCAACTGTTGAGTTTCCTGTTATGTGGACATATTCAGCTAACAGAAACGTTACTGAGACCCCCAAATCAACGCACATAGGTCACTGCACGGCAGTCAGATGGTAACTTCTGCTCGGCACTGAGCAGCACGGAATAGGAACCAGTGCCCAAAAGGTGAAAGGCACCGTATCCGATTACATATTTCCATGCCACCCCGTTCCACAATGGAATTCTGCTTTACGTCCTCTCTTACTATATATACTACAAAGCTTGGGGCAAATGTGCAAGGCAGTTTTTCTGTAGTACTACCGGGTACCCAACAAAGGTGCAGAAAAATGACTGAGACTTTTTGCCTCAATTTCAGCTCTGGAAGCACCAAAAGGGCCAAGTTAGATTCACGACTAACTTGGAAATACACCTAAGAATAAACCCAGACATYATCTAGGTATTCCTKGAATGRGATAAGGGGACGAGAAGGAATGATCCTTAGCATAATAACTCTAAAAAGATATTTTGCTTTCTTATGGAATAAATGGCCAACACTTTAAAGATGTCAAGAACAGCAATATCACCTTGCTGCTAGCAAATGTAATGGTAACATTTATCATTGGGCTGTATTATATCAATTCTCTTACTCTTTACATAACCCATTTAAAATGAACAATAAAAGTTTTCTTTAATTAGCTACTGGTGTGCATTAACATGATCATGATTAAACCATAAAAACCAACTGTACATTACTCTGGACCCCTATCCCATATGTTTTGAATTATTTTAGTTGAAAATGTACTTTGAGTCCCTTTTAAAAGTTCGACCTTCTGCTTTCAGAGAATTAAATGCATATTACTGCAGTGGAGAAGATAATGTTTCAGACCTCCAGGCATATATTAAACACACTGGCAGCACATTAGACAAAATGCTTTACTTATTAGATACTTCCTATTCTAAACAGTGTCATCAAAGGCTAAAAACAAAATCCATATAAAAGCTGCACAATGCTTCCACACAGAACCTGTGCCAAAATCCCTGTACTTTCCAACTAATGAGGAAAGGATGTGTACTCTTAACATATGAATGTAAGATTTTCCAAGCATTCACTTTAGGAAACAGGACTATTGATTCCACATGGCTTATGTTAAATGAAACTGTATTGGTAAAATAACCTTTAAGATATTTGGCATGATAACTGTAATTAAACAGTATTCAAAGGAATAAAACAAAAGGGAATTTGGTTCCACAATAGCTAATTAAAATAAAATGAAAAAACACAGCATGTCATCTATCAAGATAAATTGTTATTGTTTAAGAACTATTTAAATACTGTTAAAATATACTTTTAGATAAAATCTGAAGGGACTGGAAAAATATTTGTGGCTTAAAAATGGATAGTTTGGCGAAGAAAAAAGTATAGGACGCTGAAATTTTATGCTGAGATAACAGCTTTAAAGCTTTGAGCATAACCAGATGGTACTTAAATCAGCGGAATTCTACAGTTTCACTGTCAGAATGAGTTGCAATATGAAAAGGTTTTCAATGGCTACAAAAAATGTCAAGTTGATAGTTTACTTCTTAGATCACTTTGGTGCATTTTCTCATCCTCCCACAGTTATATATCCCATCAATACTAGAACCCCTAGGAAAGGTGCTGAAAGCTGCGCTGGTAGCTGGGGAACTGCAGCTAATTCTTCCTTTTCATGTGCGAGATAGGTACCTTTAMTAGCTTAACCCCTTGAGCGCAACGGGGCATATGACATATATCTACCCAGTAACAGGGCATGGAAATAGCGTGTCTTGTAGCACACACACCAAGAAGTACTTCCTAAAATCAGGGCAAATAAATTCAATTGCCTTTCAAAACTGGAAAAACAGTCTCATTTACAGTCAGCACAATCTTAACCAGGCAATTCTTTCCATTTCTTTTCCTTTTTTAATTTTTTTTTTTGTGATAAATGCATTGAGATGGTAAAATGACCAAGGTAAACACGGAAATTAATAGTTAGATTCAAAATTAATACATTTTCCAAACCAAAGCAAGGTATTTTAAAGCCATAGGCAACATTTTAAGTTATGTTTTAACTTTCTTAATCCCTCAAGGGCTTTCAACAGTAACAAGTGGAACCATGTACAAAGTTTCACTATTAAAAATTCTATCAGTTTCAGCATTATTTTCTTTTACTGGTACTTTTCTGCACTTTACAGGCTCGCTCTCTACTTGGTAGAACCCGAGTAAGCAGGAGAATCTCT